AAGGTTCCTGACTTGCTTATTAGAGGCTTCCCTGGCTTGAAGTCGGAGGCGACGTTGAAGTCCGCCAGATGTACGTGACCCTCCGAGTCTAGTAGCACATTATCCGGCTTCAGATCGCGATGGACGATACCTTGACTGTGAATGTAGCGAAGGGCACAAGCCAGCTCGGCCATCCAGAAGCGGATCGTGTCCTCGGTGAAGGACTTCCGCTGGATGTGAAAGCGAAGGTCACCACCATTCATCAGGTCGACCACGAGATACAGATATTCGACGTCTTGGAAACTGTAGCGCAGATTGCACAAGAAGGGGTGGTTTAGATGCTCGAGCATTCTCCGTTCTCTGATGATATTGCGAACGCTTTCAGATCGAACCACTGCGATACAGTTAGAGATAACCCGATGGGCTGCTTGTGGCTGCTTGTTGGCATCATGGCTAAGAACGGACCTTCATCCTTGCGGATATATTTAAGAGCAAACGTCAAACCAGAGTCTTTGCGCTCTACAATGCGAACCTTCCCAAAAGCTCCTTTGCCCACGACTCTTAACAGGCGAAAGTGATTGAGGTTGACTGACTCAAATGTGAGCACATGAATGCATAGTCTTCGAGCGTCCAGACAACTCACCTTCATCGGTCAAGACCACAGGCTTGCCCTGAGAATTCCCCATTGACCAATCAAGGAAGAGTAACAATAGCACCAAAATTCCTCCACTAAGGCAGATCTGTCACACCAGGAAGTAACATAGAGGTTACAACCCGGATGGTGGTGGAAATAATCGAGGACGTCAGATTAGGAACACCGTGGTGGCCAATAGTTTGGTCGATAGATCTGTGGTAGCAGGTACCACAGATATGCGCTGGGATTGCGGTGAGGATTTGGAGATGGAGTTGAGCGGTTGACGATCAGGCTGTCTGATCGATCTTGAAGATTTATCCAAGCCACATGAAAGTTCAATTAGGATATGTCAGAGCATGCCTCACTAGACAACCGAGGTTGGCAGACCAAGGGATAGAGTATCGGTAAGGAGGATAGAAAAAAGAGTCGAGGAGGTGCCGACCAGCGTCCAATTCTAGAATCAAAGATATCGGTGCGGTGGGAGACGCTCAGAAAATATCGCTGTCAGCGGAATATCTGAAGGGGCGAATGCCGCAGCCCCAAGATGACAGGAAAAGGAACGGCAAGGCGACAAAACTTGACGGAGGAGACTTTGGAGTTGTACGAGGTACTTGTCGAAATAGTGAAGAAGCAGAACAAGAAGGCCCGGGGTAGCGTGGAGCGAGCCAGAAAGAGGATATGGTACGATTAAAAAGGCTGTCCACGGTTGAGATAGCAATGAATCATTCGGGCATGAGGGCTCGACAGCGGCGGTCAGGGTCCTAATACCAGAAAGTGTAGTAGCCGAAGCATCAAGTGCGCCTTCTAACGTCGTTTAGACTGGTAAGGCGGAGGTCAACCTTTTTGACAGGGGACCAGGGGGGATGCAGTCCCTTGCTGCTACTCCAGTTCCAGAAACTGGGCTGTCAATCGGCTTTGATGTGCAAAGGGGATAATAGTCCCTGTGCGGCGAACGACAGTTGATCGATGGACACCAATAGTTGAGCTATGTCGCAGGCGGATGGGTGGGAACGCAGACGATGATCGACCAGGGGCGGTTCAAAGGGAAGCTCAGCGCACGACTTCAAGACTCAGAGGACGGCGAGGCGGATAGGCAGGCGATAGAAGGAATCAAGAAGAGGCCCGAAAGAAATGAAGAGTGAATTAATTGTGGTGTGGATTTTTCTCGAAGGCGGCCCCATAGTTGGAAGAAGGAGAAGAAGGCGAGGGAGAAGAAATGAAGAGGCCCGTTGTTCCAAGTCCATCCATCCTCCATCCATCCTCCACAACCATCATCCCGCCAACCTCCAATCCACCATCCACCATCGGGCCATCAGCCATCAGCCGTGGCCCATCTGCACCAGCATCCATCCATCACATGGCAAAGTCAAAACCCAAAAGTCAAAGCAGAAGCTGTAGCAATTGCTAATGATTGGGGAAGCTCAGGACAAATCTCATCTCCCGACCGGCAGGTTCTCCTCTCTGTTGCTTCAAACCTCTTACTCGTCGAGTCGAGTCGTTTCTTCTCTCTCCCTCGGCGATAAATAGCGGATGGCAAACTTCGACAGATGCCCCCCCAAGAAAGAAACCACCATGTCGCCCTGGTCCTGTCCAAGATTGGTTCAATCACCGTCCGTCATCCCCATCACCCATCAAGCACCGTTCCACCCTCTAACTGCGCACTTGGCCCCTAACGAGCTAGGCGCAGTTGGTGCAAGCTGCGACCATGGCTGACCACGTTTCATCTTTCCAAGGACCTACCCCTTTCTCTGGGGGTTTGCTTTTGATTAGGGCTATCAATCACTAGGCCATGTACTATCGAGTCACCGGCGACTGGCCTGACTAACTTGAACGTCGACCGTCGATTGTCTGTTGGTATCAAGATATTTTACCTTTGGCAGAGCCTGGCACCCTTTTAGCCTTCGATCCCGCCATCTTGCGCCTATCCGAGACAAACCGAGGAATTGGGTTTTTTCCAGAAACATTAAGAAAAAGAGCCACGAGGGAAACATGCGAGAGGTGGGCGGGCCTTTCTCTGCAGAGTCCTCAGTCCTGACTGGCGCACCCCCTTGTCCGGGCTGCTGCAACTGGCGGCTTGGTCTCAAAAGGTGGCTGCCACGTTGCTGCTGCAGCTGACCCTGGCCGTGAAACAACAGCTTGCGTCCGCATTGGTTCGGTCAAAAGTCCAGCCCGGTAAACTTTTCCCTTAGCACCTTGTCAGCCCTCACCAAAGCCTCAGTCGCCCGAAAGCCCACCGACACTAGGTACCATTATTTCCAAACTAGGCGACCACTTTGAGAGCTCTAGAGCGATACAGCGTACGTTTTGCCAACCCTTGGCTTGACAGAGTTTCCATCCCAAGGCACTCCCTTCAGACCTGTACACTGCATGTCGCTCTGTACTCGTATGCACTGTCCGCTATAAGTACCACGCGTTTGCCGTGTGAGAACAGCATGGCCCATTCAACACTAGAAGAGCTGGTTGACGGACGAGCGCTCTGTCCACCGAGTCCTAGGGGTTTGGAGTGTCTGGATATGGAGAGAAATGATCTGAGACTGACCGGGTTCTAGTTATTCCTGTCGATCTTCATGGCCTATCTCCACGTCTACCAATTTACGAAGGTATTGGGTTACGTACCAAGTACTCGGTACCTAGTACTGGTACACATTGGAGTTTCACCTCGTACTCCATTTTTACAGTCTCCACGAGCATTCACTTCCATTCTTACCAACCAATCCAAATTCCGTACTGGACTTTACGTATAATACTCGCAAGGTGTCCAGCCTCGGACAGGCAGTTTCCGGCCATGTCCACCTGCACGTCAAGTTCAGCTCGAGTCCCACTACAAAATGCATGAATCCGACGGGAGCCTGGGTTGTCACCCAATGGGGCGCTCTGTTCTTCCGGCCGTCCCGTACTATTCTTGCTGAAAAGACAGAGAGTCAGAAAGGAGATAACTTTGCGTCACCACCAAGACCACAACCTTGCCAAGCTGGATGTTCTCCCATGGCACCGCAAGGGTGAAGTACTAGACCGTCCCAAGAAAGGGAACATCCCTCCAGAAAAGGAACATCCCTCCAGAAAAGGAACATCCCTCC